AATCGATAAAAAAAAATCTAGACGTGGTTTCGAACAAACTAATGATGTAGAAGTGTTTGTTTTGAGGTCCTCTAACAAACGCCATCGGAATTTCTCTTGTGCGAGAAAAAAAGTTGAAATTTGTCGAACGGTGAAATGGATAAATATGTCATGGTTTCATTTTCGAAGTAAAAAAATTAATGCAAAAAGACTTTTGACATATCATAGCGTTTATCTACCGATAGTCTTAGAATGTAAGCCTCAATTTGGCTAGACACGTTGTTAACTTTGGCCATAGTGTGTGGAAGAATTTGGATTACGTGTGTAATTTGTTACATTTAAAAATGAATAGAGTAGAAATAAGATCAATGAAGAAAACAAAAATGTATCTTATTGATTAAATTTTCTTTAAATGTCTAGTGCAACGCCCCGTTAACGTCAAAAGTCGACCACGGTTACCGATTCCCGATGACGAAGATCCGTACAGCATTGCCGGAAATAATTGCATTAGCAATGAAAATTCAGATAGTTCTGGATACAGCGGTAGCAGCAATAGTAACGGTGAGAAAACTGCATTTATTTACAATAAATAACAGAATTCAAAGCACTCAGCTGATGGCCGATGACTTGATTAAAATGCGACAATATTATGACTGCAATTCTCGACCTCTTTTGAACTACCAGCGGAACAATTTGTATGAAAGAATGAATCTTAAAAAAAAGTACTCAGATCAGAATTGTTTGAGTGTGTGGGGAATTTCCACAAAGCTATTCGATCTGCACGAATGTCACAAGCAAATCGGTTTGTTTACTAAAAGACCTTTTTTCTGTCGCCCTATGTTTTGTGTGGATAACCGCATCAGTGACAATCGCACAGCAACAAGCAAAAAAGCAGTTATGCCTCCTACTGTGTTCCTGTTCGTCAGCCGGTGACGACAGATCGAAAAAATGTTGATTTAATTAAATTAAAAAGTCATTTTTTTTCAGTTCATGTTTACATTGTTATTCTGTTTCATATTATCAACAGGATGGAAAAGTAAATGTTTGCATTTATTTTATTTCTTGTTGTTTCGTTTTGTCTGTTCTACATGCATCCACATAAAATCATATACATATACAATATATTTATATTGTTGATGTGAACAACTAATGTAAAATCGGAAAATGTCCATTTCGTTGCTGAATTTTTTTTTCTCTTCTTATTCTTTTCTTCTGAAGGTCATTCATCGGTGGCATCAACACAAAGAGAACGAGATCAAAAGTTTTACATGGTGAATACGTCACAACAACAATCGAAACCAAAACGCAGCAGCAGCGGTAGTAGTAATGGTAGCAACGATCAAAATCCACCACAGCTTCCTCCACGCGATACCAGTATTTATTCACATGAATTACCTATGGTACGTACCAAAATGTAGACAAACTTGGCTTTTTGTTGTCTTCAATAAAGATCGATATATTCAAAAAAAATTCGAGATCAATGGTTAAGGTTCAATAATACAACGATATACTTGATTTGCCCACGCCTGTCCTACCCAATATGTAATACTGCTGAAGAAGAAGAAGAAGATTGCGCGATGCAATAGCAGTGCATTGAGATGCACCAATTTTTTTCTTTTCTCTCTCTCCATTATTTTCAAGTTTTGGCCGTCTTTTTGTACCTTTAATCACACAGTGATCGGACGGAAGGAATAAAATTCGTTTCGAATAGGCTTCGAAGTCGAGCAGTACATTATAATTCATTGTTGCCATACAGACTAACATGAGCACAAAACCACAGCCACATGTACATTTCAATTTTTTACTGTCTAGCCAGCCGGATGATGAATGGCTTCTTGGTTCACATTCTTTTTTCTTCTGTCCAGTTTCATGAAAACCGAAAGTATTCTACTCCATTTACTTCTACTGAATGCTTTTCAATTATTTGTTTATTTATTATCTTCTACATCAAATTTATAACTCGTTCACGAAAAAAAACCGCCATAGTTTCATTGCAAATGGAGTATTGCCAGTTTTTAAAGACTATTGCGATGGATTGCCAGCTTCATAAAACTAAATTGCATTGATGGTGTGCATGCAGGAAAATGAGGAAGAAGCTTTGGAACATACGAAATAAAAAATGTTCTCATTTCGCACTGCGAACACAGATGAACATATTTCCTTGATATGCTCTTTTAATTATGTCTCACGTCACGTGTGCATACGCTTGTATTCAATTTATTAATGAAAGAATTATTGTCATTTCTCTCATTTTTGTATCGAAATGTGCTCACGGTTATTTAATTGCTTACTTCGTGTTGTCACTTTTCCCATTTATTCGGCATCTTTTGAAAAAACGCATTTTTTCCCTTACAGCCGGACTATGATGACGATGTTGAAAATGGTACCCATCAAAATAACAACAACAACAACAACAACATTAATAATACTATTAACAGCAACCATAATAATAATAGCAGTAAATTGAAATTATTCTTTAGAAGCAAATCAAAGGAATCGGAACGAAAGAAGCATGGTAAGTTGAAAAAAAAACGATATTGCTTACTTTTCGACGACCGATTCATTTATTTTGTGAACACTTTTGTTTGATTCAACAGTTATTGAAGATCCATATTACTGTGGATTAAGTGCTCGTGTACCGAAATTCGATCGAATTACTCCATTGAAAAAATCGAATAAAAATCAAAATGTCATTGTGCCAAAACGAATGTCAGTTGCATACTTGCAACACCCAATGATTTTTACGCCAACAACCGGAACATCAACCGGCAACGGGTATCCAGCGGTAAAGATCTTTTACATATATAAAACTTATTTCAGTACTTTGCTAAGCTCTAACCCTTGTTCTACAGCAACACCCGATCAAACCACAACAATTTACCAAGCAAAAGCAATGCCTAATGCCTCGACGCAATTATCAGCAAATGATGTGGCATGCACGCAGCATGGAAAGCGGTTTAGGTAAGTCACAATACTACTCAACACATGTCTATTTGCATTTTGATAAAATGGTTCTTTTTCCCTTCTATATTTAAAGAAATTGATCTTTTGAAATGATTCTTCTAAGTGGAATTTGTTGTTCATTTGACATTTCTTCCAAATATGTAGATTATCCATCCGAATTCAATCCCAACTCAAATTTCTTTGGACTCAATCGACAAGATCTTCGGAATTTAGCCAGACGTAATGTTTGAATGGATCAAAATTTTAGCTGATTTCAACCAAGTCGTTTTGTTTTACGGTATCCATTAAGTAGTTAGCTTATTAGGTTAAATTTTAATTAGCTCAACGTAAGTATACCATCTGAGATTGGTCTGAGCAAGAGAATATTTCATATCTGAATCAAAGACAGAATTTGAATTTTGGATTTATTCCTTAATTAGTTATTTCTACTTTAAATTTTTGGACACTGAATGGATCGATTGCTAGTTTTACTGCCAATTAGGAAAAAAAATTCGAATCTTATATGCGAAACGAACGAAAGTATAAATGCAAATAATTATGCTTTCAGTAGAAGCATTAGCATCTTAAGTACTGACGTCAAAACGTTGCGTTAAACTTTTCCATTTCATTCGTTTGATCTTAGCAATTTCCCTTATACAGTCATGGACAAAATTGAGCGTACGCCTATAAATTTTGTGTTTTATTTTTTCCAGTAACTTTTCATCTCAAATGTAATATATCAATGGGAAGTACATAAAAAATCAATAATATTGGCAATTTTGAACATCTAAATTGGCCGGCCAATAGGCGACTTATGGCTCTCGGTAAAAATGGCCAAAAATTCAAGCTTTTTCTCCAGCCGTTCGATTTGAAAAGTTTAAATGCAGTTTTGAAGGCCTTCAGGAGCAGATACTTTTAAACGCTGAAAACTTTCGGATCGCCTTCAATTTGGGCAAGTTATGGCCGTTGGAAAACCCAAAAAAATTTTGACGAAAATTTTCGTACGCCTATAACTTGGTTAAATTGTAACCGATTTCTATGTTTTATACTATTAAAATTATCTTCATTAAATGGGCTTTCCAACGACATATGACATTTCGCAATCAAACGCTTGGTTTAATTTTTCGAAAAAAATCGTCCATTTTTCCAACGGCCATAACTTGGCCAAATTGAAACCAATCAGAAAGTTTTCAGCGTTTAAAAGCATCTGCTCCTGAAGGCCTTCGAAACTGCATTTAAACTTTTTAAATCGAACGGCTGGGGAAAAAGTTGAATTTTTGGCCGTTTTTACCGAGGGCCATAAGCCGCCTATTGGCCGGCCAATTTTGATGTTCAAAATTGCCAATATTATTGATTTTTTATGTACTTCCCATTGATATATTACATTTGAGATGAAAAGTTACTGGAAAAAATAAAACACAAATTTATAGGCGTACGCTCAATTTTGTCCATGACTGTAGATATGTGTAGTATTTCATATTTCGAGCGATGCACGCGCGCTCATTTTTCAATGGCACAATGATGACATTTGGCAAAATTATGACTCAAAATGTTTTGCGATCATAATTTCAAACGATGAATATATACGAACGCGACATTTGTTTAATTTGCGGTGATTCTATCACAGAAATGTCACAAAATTATCAAATTAGATGAAAATATTTACTACCTGATTAAATGTATCCAACCCAACTGGGAATGGTCCCGACTAGTACATATAATATTTGTTTGTGTATTAGTTTAAAATGGCATGCGATCATTAAGTATTCTGTGATAAACTGTTCAAATGCAGGACGTAAACGCACAACAACAATGGTCGCAACAGTAACATAAGGAAACTACTATAAATACTCGAAAATTATTTTGTTTTTTTTTTTGGTCAATTAATCGTAAAATCATTCTTTTTTTTCGTGTCTTAACAACTAATTATCATATTTGTTTAAGGAGACGAATAGAATCAATGACAATAGTTGAAACACCACAAAAATGTGGGAACCGGCTCAAAAGATCAATAGAAACATGTCTGACCTTTTAAAATTTGGATTTTTATCAATATCAAATCATAAATTAATTTAGTGATCGAATATGAAACCGACAGAAAAAATGTCGAGGAAATGCGCATCTTGCTTCCACTGATCGATGTGCAAGCAATAATTTTGTATTCGCTAGCATTACTATTTATGTGGAGGCGTGTAATTTCAGATTTAGATTAGAGAAATTAAGCAACTCGAAAGACGCAGATTAAGTAAACCAAAATGATGGGAAATTAACTTGTAGATTAATGTATTCGATGGAACATTTTAGAGAAAAAAGGCCACAGAATAAATCAAATAAAATCAAATATCGAAAAAAAATCTACTAAAATAATATTATGCAAATTATTTTCCGGATATGGATATGTTTTTCGTTTCGATGGTTTATGTATTGTAGATTCGCTTTTTGGCTTCTTCGCTTTATGGAACTGCGAATTTGGAGTGAACAAACGCTTTTTTTCCTCTTGTGTTCTTCGCTGTTTGCTATGTTTGTACTCTCATCTTAGCTTGTATCAACGTATTCCCAAAACAAGTCTCATCGAAATCATCCCGTACCAAAATTGTCGTATCAATAGACGATGCTTGATCTAGCGAAAATGAATCGGCGTGCGCAACTCGTTGACCCTGAAATCATAGTGAAGGAGAAATTATAAATCATCTGATATTTCGTCCATAAGCAACCGGTGGGAATAGAAAAAAAAGGTCATTAAAAATGTGCGGCTTGCAATAAATCCTTTTGAACATTCATTCGGGTAATTAAGTGGGATGTTTCATTTTAATGTCACATGCATTATAAAAATTATTCCCCCATAAAATGAAAATCAAAAGAATTCGAAGAATATTTGAATTCTGTACTTCGCAACACTGGACGGGCAACACTAAAACATCTTTATATTATGGAAGCTGTAGCCGCAATGCTTACCATTGTATTTTGATTTCTCTATTTCTTTGTCATTTACATTTTCAGTCTAGGTAAACTAACGACTAGTTATGAACTGGAATACGTGTGAAAAATGAATTCGGACTCAAATTATTAATTTCCCACCGAAAAAAAGAAACATTTGAAAATAATGGCATCTTGAATATTTTTCCCGTGATCTATGCCTAAAAATTCAGCCCAAAATGAAATTTAAATTGATATTACAAATTATAAAACTTAGCAACGAATCGAGAAACAATTACACATTTTACAAATGCTCGCCAGAAAAAATCAAGTTAGCAGATTGCAGAACATTTTGTTGAGAGCCATGCGACATTCAATATTTTTGTTCCAAATTGTTTGTTCACTTAGAAGATGTTGCTTGCTCTAACTCACAGTGTTGAATTCGGAATCAAATTAAAATAGCCATGTTTGTTTTCCATATTTTTGTGCGATTTGTTTACACTGCATGCACTTCATCGATGTAAATGGATGGCAAACTTGATTTCCGGCGATAAACGGTACTGGTTTTTTCCTGCCCATGTTTCGTACGAAGTTTCCTATAAAATGGAATGAATAAAAAGGTGAGTATTTCTGGTGCTTTTCTTGACTGAATCATAAAATACACCGCAAACGTTTTGTCCCGTGTGAATAAACCTGTGGTAACGTCTCATTATTATATCTTGGTCACCGAACGAGATTAGGTATACCTAGATAAGTTGAATTTTGTTTATTTTTTGACGCTTAAGGTCACCGAAACTGAGTGTCAAACAACAAAACAAATGGATGAAAATTGCTATGGACATGGGCAATCAAAGATTAAGTTGTGCATGCGGATGTAATTTACAGCTGGCCCGTATCTATCATTAATATTCAGAGGCATCTTTTTGTTATATTTACATACCTACCAACAAAACGACATATCTAAAATCAATTTATTCAATTTACAACTATGATAACACGGTGAGTATATTAGTATCCACGATAAAAGTACGGAAGGGAAAATGAATATATGGTAAAACGGGTGTTGTATGAGTCATAATATGTTTCCGATTGATTGAATAGCTGTAAAAGTGATACTTTTCCGGTCATTTGACATCTGATTACATCGAACCAATTGATTGATAAGTAGTCAATATCAAATACAATATGCATATCATAGCGGTTATGAGCACAGTGTGTTCAAGCTCATTGGGAACGATCCAGTCTTGAGTCAAACGTTGTATGTTTGCAAACTAGAAATATCAAAACACCAACCGAGTACATTATGAAACGGATCTCGATTCTTGTGAATTACATCATTCTATAAAAAATCAGTTTTGTAGCACCAACCAAAAAGTCTCATTCGAGAATGAAATTCCGGTAAATTTTAGATCTATTCAGTTGGTTATGCCGATCTTAAGATTCCGCAAGTTCTCAACACAATAACAATTCATATACTTTGATGCAAATGTATCGGCGGATCACACTTTGAACAGATGTTCGAATAAAAAATATTAAGTTTTTTTTTCTTTCAAAGATCGAAGCGACCAAAATTACAATAAATTGAAATGAGCGACTAGAAGTAAGGATTAAACCAGTTTTGGTTCAAATTACATTCGGGTCGAAACTGGTCAGCACCACATGTGATTAGTCTCTAAATGGAGACGACATAAGACAAAAGCATTGGAAATAATGTTATAAAATTGTTTGGGGTATAGCAACGGAGCAGCAGAAACAATAACAATCGGCGAAATATTTAAATTTGCTTGACATTTAAGCAAACCGATTGGAAGAGAGAAAAAGCGTTGTATGGAATTTTTGATTGAAGACGAATAAAAGGAACCAGAACAAAATCGAAAAAAATATGTGGCTTGAAAAATGTAAGACGTAAGCTGTTACGTATGCATATTAATACAAAAGTCACATTTAGTGTAATTGAATCGCCTCAAAGTTTAGAGTTGGCTTAAGGTGAATTGTTTGTTTTTCTATGCTAATGCTCTTATGAATTCAACACCGATCCGCGAATTTTTTTCTCAATTTAAGTCTCTTTCAATTTTTCACACTAATTTGCTATTTGATCCACAAGTGTTGCAGACAGATCTTGTCTATAATGAACAAAAACATTTTGAACGACATTTTCTATGGATTAGACATAGGCTGTTAGGAGAGTACCCATCTTTTTTTCAGCTCATTATTGAAACTCATTTACCACTGACCACGGTTTTGATAAAAACACTCGCTACAGTTTCAAATTGAAACTTTCAATTTGACATAACACGTGAAATAGTCATGCATAATATTTCGATATACAATTTTTCGGTCATATAGTATCAAAATGGTTTAGTGCGCAAATTAATGTGAGATTACT